GAAGCGGGGGGGCCCGAGTCTCACAGAGGACCCTGGGGAAGCGGGGGGGCCCGAGTCTCACAGAGGACCCTGGGGAAGGCGGGGAGGGGGCTGAGTCTCACAGCGACCCTCTCTCCAGGGGCTCGTGCGCTCGGCGTCGCCCCTTGCCCTGCTGACATTTGGAGCTGTCCCAGGCACTGTGGGGGTCTGAGCAGCACCCTTGCCCCCAACTGACGATGCCAGAGCCCAGGTGACACCTCCAGAAAGGTCCTCAGATGTTGCCCAGTGTCCCCTGGGGTGGAATCAGCCCTGGGTTAGGGGATTCCACTGACCCCAGGAGGCCCGTGTTCTGCTGTCCCGGTCTCCTGGGATCCGGGGTGCTGTCACACGCCGGGGTGCGTGGTCACTGTTTACGCCTGCCCCGCGGGGGTTTAGTGTGGTGTCTGGTGCGAGCAGGCTCAGGCTCAGGCTTTTTCTAAACAATTCGCACCGTCTCCCTCCACCTCGACATCAGAGATTTGGAACTGGGTGACTCAGGGTGGGGGTGTCCTGGGCACTGCAGCATGTTGAGCAGCATCCCTGATGTCCCCCCAATGCAGGAACACCCCTTCCCCCAGCCAGGACACCCACACATGTCCCTCTGGGGTCAGCAGCGTCCTTGACTGAGCGCCAGCGGTAAAGCGAGGTGTGTCCTCTGTGAGCAGAGTAAACCCGTAAAGTCCCAGACATGCAGCCGTAAGAGAACCTCCCTGAATGTGACAGCGAGTGCCCGCGCTCCCAGGGACACAGGCGTGCCACCGGAGTCCTCACCCCGTGACAGGTCCTGGGGCTGACCAGGTCCCGGGCCACGGGGTGTTTCTGCCGCCTGGGCCCGGGACCACGCGCTCGGCGACTGGCGGGTGAGTGGCCCCGACTCTGTCCGCAGATGGAGGACGGCCACACTCTCTTCGACTATGATGTCCGCCTCAACGACACCATCCAGCTCCTGGTCCGGCAGAGCCTGGTGCTGCCCCCCAGCGGCAGCAGTAGGGAGAAGGACTCTGAGCTCTCAGACACGGTTTCCGACACGGACTCAGGCTGCTGCCTGGGCCAGAGTGAGTCGGACAAGTCCTCCAACAGCGGCGAGGCGGCCTCAGAGATGGACGGGAAGGCGGGCTTGGCCGACGAAGAGGCGTGGGGAGAGACGGAACAGGGTCTGTACAAGGTGAGCCTCCCGGGGGGCCTGGGCTGGCCCTGGCTGGCGTTGGTGCTGGTTCACGGCCGCCCCTGCCCCAGGGCTTTGCAGCCACAAGGCCTTAGGGTAGGCTTGCTCCCCTCTGTGCCTGTGACTGGGCACCCCCACTTCTGCCTTGAAAATTCCCAGTGGCCAAGCTTCTTGGTGGACACTCAGCCCCGCGGGGCTGCCCTGTGATCCGGGAAGCAGCCGCGTCAGCACCTGTTGCCATCTTCTGGTGGTCCTTGTAAGCTCGCAGCCACCGTCTCACGGTCAGGACGTCTGGCCTAAGCCCCCAAATTTCCGGCTTCTTTGAGAAACGGGCTGCTGGGCCTTGGCTGTGGGGCAGCTGCTGCTAGAGCCCATGTGCCTCGCCAGCCTGCCTCTTTTCCTGCGTCGGTGGTTCTCGTGGGGCAGCTTAGCCTGCCAGGGAGGCTGGGCAAGGTCTGGAGAGAGCTCATCACGCTGGGGGTGCTCCTGGCATCAAATGGGTAGGGGCCAGGGTGCTGCTCAGCACCCCACAGAGCCAGGGCACCCCCCTTAGAGAACCATCCAGACCCACGTCAGCAGTGCCACAACCTGAAGAAGACCCTGCCACGGACGTCTGGTGGGGGTTCCCTGTCCCGACACAGGCAGCGCCCTGGGACCCAACCAGCTGTTGTGAGTCTTGCTCATTGGCTCTTCCTGCGGGGCTGGGTGAGAAAGCTTCTGTTCCCACCAGGTCAACGAATATGTGGACGCCCGGGATACAAACATGGGAGCCTGGTTTGAGGCGCAGGTTGTCAGGGTGACAAGGAAGGGGCTGTCCCAGGACGAGCCCTGCAGCTCCACCTCAGCGCCAGAGGAAGATGTCACCTATCACGTGAAATATGACGAGTGAGTGGCAGGCGGGCGGGGGGCCGGGGGGTGTGCGGGTCTGGAGTTTGCGCTGCTGTGAGCCCCCGCTGGGCACGGGTATCTCAGCTCTGGCCGCCGTAACGATACCACAGCCTGAGCAGCTTGCAGGGGCAGACTTTTGCAGGTTTTTTTTTGGTTCTGGAGGCTGGAAGTCCAAGATCAAGGTGCTGGCGGGTTGGGCTCCTGGTGAGTACTGTCCCTGGTGGAGGTGGTTGCCCGCTCAATGTCCTCGGGCGGCCTCTGCTCACAGAGAGAGCGGGAGCGAGGGATCTCTGGCGTCTTTTCCTCTTATTAGGATACCAGTCCCATCAGATGGTCCCCACCCCTATGACCTCATGTCTCTTATTACCTCCTCAGGGCCCTCTCTTCCAATACCCCCACTTTGGGTATTATAGTCTCAGCACATGGCTTTCGGGATGGGGGAGTGACTCTGTCCATAACAAAGGGCAAGCCCATTCTAGGGGCCAGGGCCTTGTCTGAGTCCTCTCCAAGGCCTTACTGCCCAGACCAGTTTCTGACCCATCCTAAGCCTAGCTCTCTGAAGGTGCTGGAGTAATTTGATGAAGGAATCCTAGTTGCCAGGTTCACATCTTCTTGGCTCGAGGTTGCAAACTCTGGCCCCTAGGCCAGAGTCGCCCTACTGACGGTTCTTGTAGACAAAACTCAGCAAAACATCACGCTAACAATGTCAGTAGCTGCTGGTTGTTTCGGCAGCACAGCCGAGTATTTGCGACAGAGCCTTTCCAGCTAACAAAGCCAAAAGGACTCTATGACCCGTCTCAGAAAAAGTTGGGCAGCTCCTTGTTCCTGGTGTCTCAATAGTGAAAATATTAAGTGCCGGTCATCTGGATGCGCTGGTTATCATGGGGGGGGGGCTGTTCCCCCACCATTGAGATTTAACTTTGTTGCTAGGGTTTTTTCTTAGTCCAGTTATTTGTCATTGAACACATGCATTGTTTTGGGTGCTCTGAAAAGCAGAAGCCCAATTATTTGATGCCTTTTGTTGGGACTGCTGGGATATTCCCCCTGTTCACCATACCAACTCACTGGATTCTAGTACCTAGCCTGTTACCTTTACGTAAATGCAGCAGTATGTGCTCTCTGCAAGATCATGCTCAGAACTTGTGGAGAGCGTTCTTTCAGTCCCCAGGGTCACTGGTGGGCCTCCTAGGGCCACCTTGACAAAGTACTAACAGAAGTTACAGTGGAATTTTGTTCTTGCACAATTCTGAAGGTCAAAAGTCCAAAACCAAGGCCATGACCCTTCTAAAGCCTGCAAGGCAAGTCCTTCTGCCCTCTTCCAGCTTCTGGAAGAAGCCGTCCATCCTGGACTGTGGCCCTGTCACTCGGTCTCCTCTCTGTCTCATTCCCTATCATTGAATGCATGGTCCACCCTACTCCAGTGTGACCTCGCCTTGTTTACATCTGGGAAGCTCCTGTTTCTGAGGGTGGAGTCGCAGGGACATGCTTCACCCACACACCTTCCGTAACTGGAACAAGTCTTCTCTGCCTGTGTTTCTCATAGCAGCAAACAGGGCACCGGGGTAGGACCAGAAGTGCTGTTGGGATGGGCACACCCCACACCTGGGCGCCGGTGGCCCCTTCCCAGGGCTTCCGTCGCCACGGGTTCTGAGGGTGGGATTTTCCTCGCAGCTACCCAGAGAACGGAGTGGTGCCGATGAGCTCCCGGGACGTCCGGGCTCGTGCACGGCACGTCCTCAAGTGGGAGGAACTGGAGGTGGGCCAGGTGGTCATGCTTAACTACAACCCTGACAACCCCAAGGAGCGAGGCTTCTGGTACGATGCCAAGATCACACGGAAGCGCGAAACCCGGACGGCGAGGGAACTGGTGGCCAACGTCATGATCGGGTGAGTGACGTCACGATTGGGCTAGCCAGGTCAGGTAGGTGACGTCATGATTGGTTGCAAGAGTGGAGCCTTCAGCTTCCTGCCAGCCTGCTGCATATGTGGGTCAGCCGCCTGGCTGGGGATCGAACTGTCTGGGTGGGTCATCCCAGTGATAATGTGACCCAGGGGCCACCAGGGAGGCCTGTGGCTGCTTTTGTGCTACCAGGCAGAGGAGGCAGCAGGAGCGGCCCTGTGGCTCATACAACCAAACATAGTTACTCTCCCCTTTGCAAGAAATGTTTGTCAAGTCCTCTTCTATTTTGCATCTGTGTATGTGTGGGTAAAATAATATGTAACAAAACTTCGTAACTATATTCAGGTGCTCAGCTCAGTGCATTGGAACACATTTGCATTCAGTGCATTGGAACACATTTGCATTCTTGTGCGACCATCATCTCCAGCTGGAGAAACTTGTCATCTTCCCAAACTGAAGCCTTTTCCCATTGAACACTGACCCTGACCTGCCACCATCCCGTTTCCTGTGTCTGACTGGGACTCTCTTAGGCACCTCACACAGATGGGATCATGCAGTACTTGCCCTGTTAAGGGGAAGCATGTCCTACAGGAACTCTGCAGAGTCTTATGGACCCCACCCCCTACTCCAGCTTTCTGGACACTATCCCCTACTCCCGTGATTGGAAACTAGAACTCCCAGCAGCACCAGGGAGAGAACTGCGAGGACCCAAGGGCGGGGCTAGCGGGAATTCTGGGACATTTGGGGGATAACTAGGGTGCGATTGGCTCTCTCCGGCTCTCCCTCAGGAAACTCTCCAGACCCTATGACTCAGTTTTTTCAGTCAGCCTAGCCGGAAGGTATTCCAGATACTTTGTATCCCGCTGTCTTTCCCTGGGTTGTTTCCTATTCCTTTCCCCTTTTGTAAATAAACCCGTATTGACCCCTTGGTGTGTCCCTGCAGTGTAACTGAATTGTGAACGCGGGGATGAGGCCCCACAGTCAGGTGGCCCCGTCCACTCTGGGCTACCCTGTAACAGTCCTCCTGTGCCCGGCTTTCCAGAGCATAATACCCTGCAGGTTGGGGTCACATTACAGCATGTGTCAGGGCTCCCCACTCCGCGAGGCTGGATACTTCTCTTGCCTGTGCACTGTGGCTCAGTAGCCATGGCAGGGGTTGGGCATTGTATATGTCAGCACAGCCAATGCAGAGGTCTCAGGGCACAACCATCCCTGCTGTATTTCTGGCCTAGTGAGGTGAGTGGGCGAGCATGGGGGTGGGGGGAGGGGCTGGAAGCCTAAGCATTCAGGGCCAGGAGTGGGGGTGCGTGCTTGGTTTCAGTATGATTTGCACCCAGCACTGAGCTCCTTGTGGCCCAAGGACTGCATGTCCTGGCCACACTGTCTGGGGCTGGGTCAGCACACTTGGCCTGCCCAGGGCCAGATGGTCGTTATTCTCACTTTCAGGGCTAGACTGTGTCTGTGAGTAGTGGTCAGCTGTGCTTTTGTGGCTCACAGTGGTTCCAGGTGACCCATGGTCGTGGCAGCATGAAGTAAAGCTTGACTATAAAGTCAGGTGGCTCTCGTTTGCGCACCCTGTCCTGACAGTCAGGTGCGTCAGGTCCTGGTGAGATGCGTTTTTTGCCGTTTAGATTTACATATGGGAGCACATATATGTAAAACACATGCAGTTGCTCCTTGAACAACATGTGTTTGAAAAACGCACTTCCCCCGCTTCGTGGCTTTTCTTGTAAATGGTGTGAATTTGATGATACCGATAAAGGCCGTTTATGCTGTAAATGCATTTTCCTTATAATTTTCTTAACATTTTCTTGTAAGAATATAGTTTGTACCAACACGTATGACATGCGAAGCCCATGTCAGCTGACCGCTAGCTAAAGGTGTCTAGCAGCTTGTAGTGGGCATGGTTCGGGGCAGTCAGCATTTCTGTGGGGTTGGTTGGCTGCATGGGCAGTGCCCCAGTCCCTGTGTGGTTCAGGTGCCAACTGTGTACAGCACACACACGTGGCATGCATTGCTTGACACATGAGTCTGAAGTGATAGCACATACAACAGAGGCCTGAGACAGCCAGGTGTGGTAGCCCAGATGGCGTGATCGCACTCTGACCTCCGCGTGGGACAAGTTCACGCAAGAAGTGGCCTAACACACTGCCCAGAACGCATGCCCACACATGAGTGAGTGTGTGCGTGCGTGCACACTTTAAAGCAGTATCAGGTTTTGTGGAGCCAGCATACCTCCCTGAGAAATGTGCTCTGTAGGGGGCGCCACTGAGTAAGGAGACTTGCTATTGAGGTGAAGTGTTTCATGAGTTGCTTTTTTTTTTTTTTATAAAGATTTATTTGTGCATCTAGAACTGGGGTACAGGCCAGAGGTGCAGGGGCAGTGAGGGGATTCACCTGAGACAGAGCGGGGAGCAGAACAGGTGGGTCGACGAAGTGCACTGCTGAGGGGAGCAGCGGGCAGGTCAGCAGGAGAGGTCTGCCGCGCCGGGTGGGTCACCTGCCTGGCTGGGGATCGGACTCCCTTTACAGGGGCTGCGATAGCTTCATAGTGCTGCACTTTAACCTGTTGCGCCACCAGGGAGGGCCCAATTCATGAGTTTTTCAAATGAATCTCTGTCTCGGTCAGTTGGGGCAGCGTTAACAAAGTGCCCTAGCCCCGGCGGCTTGGGAACAACAGAAAGTCACTTTTCGTCATCCTGGAGGCTGGAAGTCCAGGTCAGGGTGCCGGCCTGGCGGGGTTCTGGTCAGATCTCGGGTGCCGGCCTGGGGAGAGCGCAGAAGCAGCAGCTCCCCCCTGAGCAGGATGCTGATCCTGATGTGGAGGCCTCACCCCAGTCCACCCCAGAGGTCCCCTTGGCTGCCACTGCACCACCGGAGGGGGACCCACACTTCCCACCCTTCCACCCGAGTCCTTTCCCTTCCCCCGGCTGCCCAGAAACACGTTAAAGAACCGCTCTGTTCATTCCACCCCATGAACAGACTAGGGACCCCCAAGTTACTCACTTTAGTTTTTTCTTTTCATTTGTGATCTGCTCTTTTAATTGATTAAACTTTAAAATGTTTTTATATTGTTCATTTTTATACAATATTTGATTATTTATTCACTTTGAAATGGGCACCGTGTATGGCATTTAAATTATGTCACTAGATAAGAGCTTTTCCCTTTTGTACGGGCTTGACAGCGTGCCAGTAAAACTTCATAGAGACAAGTGGCTCTCGCTTGCACACCCCTGTTCTGACCGTCCACAGCAGCGGTGAGCTGTGAGTGGCTTGAGAGCATAAATCCCAGCCTCGCCTGGGCTCGGGTTTCAAGCGCTGGCCTGCACACCCACCAGCTTTTGTCTTGAGTGTCCCTTCGCCGCGTGTGACTCCGAGGCACCTGTGCTCAGTGATCCTTGCAGTCCAGAAAAGGCAGCGCTGCTCCTACTGACGCCGAATGTGCCTGGACGTCCCGTCCCGACCTGCCTGCTTGCTGGAACCCAGCCCTCTGGGCCTGCCGGCGTCAGTGGCCGCATGGCGCAGCACGGACCCTCTGGGGGTCAGAGGCAAAGGTCGTTTTGCACGTGTACTACGTGCTGTGTGACTTGGGGCTTCAGGCTCCCCAGCCCCGCTTCCGGCCGGGGTCCAAGGCCGATGCCCAGGGGGCTCAGGCTGGGGTGGAGAGGCCGCGGCTGCGTGTCTGGGTTTCTCATGTGCACTTTTGGGGGCCCCTTCTTGCAGCAGGGTGGCTGCAGCGTGCTGCGACCCCAGCAGCTGTGGCTGCGCCGTCTCGGGGCGTCACACGCTCCCCGGTCCTCAACGTCGTGGACATGTCACTCTCGGCCTTACCCGAGGCCGCAGCGTCCGAGGTACAGGGACGTGGAGTCGCCAGACTGGGTGTGTCTCCCCCAGCGGCCCCAGCCTGGCTAGGGAGAAAGATCTGTGGAGAGTGGGTGAAGAGGTGCTTGTCTCGGAGAAAGCTCAGAACGGCCCAGAAGCCACCCCAGCGGGAGGCTCAGGCCGCCTGGCCGTCCCTGCTCCGCGTGGCGCTGTGTGCCGGGGAGCCCTCCTGAGCCCTCCGCCTCAGCTCATTTGCAGAGCACTGTTTCAAATTCAGGTTCAGCTTTGCTTTCAGGTCCTGATAGATTCCCGTTCAGTTGTGAGACCTAATTCTGTGAGATCAGGGTTGTCTGTTCAGAGTTCTACAAGGTGGGGCCTCCCCAGTGGCCCAAGGGGTTGAGTCTCAGCACTTAAGTTTCACCAGCCACTGCGGCATGAATTTGCTCCCCAGCCAGGGCGCCGCAGACCTCTCCTGTCTCTGCTGCACCCCTCAGCAGTGGCTTTCAGTCGGTCTGTCTGGTCTGTTCTGCTCCCCACTCTGTCTCTGGTGAAGCCTCTCACTCCCAACACCTTAGACCTGCACCTCAGCTCTTGGAAGCATAAGAAGTAAACAAAAACAACAACAACAACAAAACGAACCAGAGCCCCACTGGGGTCACTATGTGAGTTTGCAGTAGTGTTTTATCTCAGTAGAGACCTTTCCCAGACCAGGTCTCGCCCGGCCACACCCTGCCCCCAGGCTTAGGGAGTTCTGTCTGTATCCTTGTGTAACTTGCAAGAACATTATGTAAAGGAAGGCTCTAGTATGTAACCTTTTGGGATTGACTGTTTTCACTCTGCCCTAGTTGAAATGTTGCTAATGTCAGAGTTTATTTATGCCTTTCTCCTGCGGTCCTCTATGGTGTGGATCTAGCACGTTTAACCGCTTACTCGTTTAAGGACATCGGGGTCTTTTTTTCCGTTTTGTACTCAATTCATGAGTAATAGCGGCCTGCAGTTTTCTTATTTTGTTTGGTTTTGGTGCCCAGGGATTCTTGGCTTCATGAAAATGAGTTAAAATAACTACGGGACCTATTCTGTCTTGTTCCTCTTTCTGGAAAAGATTGTCAAGATGATAACTCTTAAAATGTGTGATTGGGATTCTCTAGTGAAATCCATTGGGATCTGGAGATTTCCTTGGGGGTGTTGTTTATTAATTCATTTTCTTTAATGGTTGTGGGACTATTTGCAGTCCTTGAGTAGTTTGTGGTCTTCAAAGCACCAGCACATTCTGTGATGCCATTCTGTGGTGCCAGCAGGGTCTCTCTCCTGCATTTCTGCATTTATTTTGTCTCTTTGTTATTCTTATTAGCGGTTTGTCAGTTTCACTGGTAATTTGTAAAAACCAGTCATTTGTATCATTGCTTCTCTGTTTTCATTTCATTGATTTCTGCTCTTGTGTCTTCAATTTTTTCCCTCCTACTTTGGGTTGGTTCTCTGCGCAGCAGCTCAGACTGTTGATTTGAGACATTTGTTAGTGCTTCAGGTTTAGTGTGGTAAGTGCTGCTTTAACTGCTTCTTACATATTTTGCTGTGTTAAATTTTTTATATTCAACTCTGTTTCCTATGAGACTTCTCTTTTACTCTCGGTGTATCTGGAAGTACAGTGTTTAATTCTCATATGTTTAGAGATTTTTGCCAGTGTTCATTCCCAAGTATTCAGAGATTTTGTTTTCCAGGTACTGTTTTCGAATTTGATTCATTATGATCAAAGAATGTACTGCATGATTTCAGTTCATCTAAATTTGTTGAGGTTTGTTTTATGGCTCAGAATATGGTCTGTCTTGGTGACTTTCCATGGTTGCTTGTGATATATTCTATTGTATTCCACTCAATATATTCTACTGAGTGGAGTGTGCTGTTTATTTCAGTTGGATTCTATTGGTTGATTATGCTGCTCACATTTTCTGTATTCTTGCTGATTTTCTGTCTAGTACTTGTATGAGTTGGAAAGATTGAAGTCCGCCACTGTAATTGTGGATATGTCTGTTTATTCTTTCAACTTTCATATTTGTGATGCTATGTTGCTCGGTACTTTCACATTTAGTTTAGTTAAGTCTCCTGGTCAACTGATCCTTTTATTATTATGTGATGGTCCCCTTTGTCTCTAGTAATTTTCTTTGCTCTGAAGCCTTCTTTATCTGAGAGGGGTGTGTGTGTGTGTGTGGTATATAGACATTCCTGGGTTTTCTGAAAACTGTTAATGTTTTGCATGGCTAGTGCTTACCATACTTTCAAGTTATATGGCTAACTGTGATGTGAGTTTTCTTGTAAACAGTGTGTAATTGGGTTATTAAAAGATCAGTGGTGCTTGGGGTCCTCCTTGGTGGTGCAGTGAGTTAAAGCACAGCACTATGACACTATGAGCAGCCACTGCCGCATGAGCTCGATCCCCGGCCAGGGAGTGACCCACAGGGCGCAGCAGACCTCTCCTGTCTCCCTGCTGCTCCCCCCAGCAGTGGATTTCAGTAGATCCACCTGTTCTCCTCCCACTCTGTCTCTGGTGAATCCTCTCATCCGCATCTCCTCCACCTCTGGCCTGTATCCCAGTTCTTGTGTGCATAAATAAATAAATCTTTAAAAAAAAGAAAAATGGTGCCAATGTTTGCCTTCTGATTGGCATTTTTAGATCATTTACATTAAAGGTATGTTGGAGTTAAGTATACTGTTTTATTTTTTGTTACCTTTATTTCCTGTTCCTCTTTTTTCTGTTTATCTGCTTTTTCTGTGAGTTACATAAATAGTTTTAGGATTCTGTCTAGATTTATTTATAGTCTCGAATGTGTTGCTTTGATTTGTTTTCTTAGTGGTGTCTCTGCATTTTACTATGTAAATATTTGACAAACTGGTATTAGTTTTTCCATTTTCAGACATTTCTTTACTCTTCCTCACTTATTGTGTATCAGATGGTGTTAAAATTTTAATTTTGATTGTTATATCTAATGGAAAACTCGTAAGGGGGATAACTTATTGTGTGTACCCATATTTCTGCTCTTTCTTACGTTTAATCTCTTGTTCCAAAATTCCTTCTTTTATAAAATTTCCTCTTTGAAGAACTTCTCTTAGTTATTCCTTAAGAGTGCTTCTATTAATAGCAATCTTACTTTTCCATCATCTGTTGCTTCCACCTCTTATTATGTTGAAGTAACTCCCACTATTATTTTGTCTATAAATATTTTAGCATTATTTTAAGTGACGCTTTCTAGAAAACAGTTATACTGCTGTTTCAGAACCTGGAACTTAGCAGTAATGTCTTAATACATATTCAGTCATTGTTTAATCTTCCAGTGGTCTCACTTAAAAAATTATTTATGCAGTCAGAATCTTAAGTATAGCAAGTCCTCAAATTTTATTACAGTGTTGTTGAGGGGGAAGAAATCTCAGCTGCTGTTGAAGAATTTACTTGGCTTCATTACATATTTTTGCTTTAAGGCTATCTATCTACAGATTTCAGTTAAGTTTATAATTTTAATCTGGGGATCCCCGGCCAGGGAGCTGACCCACATGGCGCAGCAGACCTCTGCTATCTGCCTGCAGCCTCAACAACAATGTATTTCAGTGGATCCACCTGTTCTGCTCCCCACTCTGTCTCTGGTAAATCCTTTTACCTCCCACACCTCTGGCCTACACCCCAGTTTTGTATGCATAAATAAAAATAAATCTTTAAAAAAAATAAATATCTTTTAATCTCTCTGCACTTCCCTCTTTTATTTTTAAACACTTTGTCATGGAAAACTGGTTAGTTTCAATGAAGTTTCCGTCTGAGTTAGTCTTCTCCACCCTTGTGTGCCCTTTCTGTGTTCCACTGTCCTGTATTCACATGAATTGGGGGAACTGGCCCAGTGCTCACTCTACACAGTGCGTGAGCCCTGCACTGTGAGCCTGGCAGCGTGACCAGTACAAATTGAGATGTGCCCTAAGTGTGAAACACACGTTGGATTTTGAGGCTGAGTGCGGCGAAAGCAATATAAGATAGCTCATTAGTGATTCTCTAATCATCATATTTTGAAATATTATTTTGTGTACATTAACATACAAATTGGTTCCATCTGCTTTTACTTTTGGAATGTGGTTATGAGAACATGCAAAATCACACACATGTTGTATGTTTGTGGTTCAGATTTGACTGCACTAAATTAGAGGTTGGATTGACCCCTGGGGGGGTCTTTTTAACTGAAAGAGAATTCTATGTACACATTGATGAAGCTTGGCTTTTACACTTTTCGCATGTTGGACCCTGTGTTAGTGGAAGGACAGGACTTACTCTCAAGGGCGTCATGTACTGAAACTCCAGTGTAGGTGCAGCCTGGCAGTGGTGTCTGAAGATAGGACTAGAATTGGCACGGGAGGCAGCCGAACAAACATAGCAGCCCCCGGGGAGCCTCCAGTCTGATAACAGGTGCCAGAGGTGTTCTGTGCCCAAGAACGTGTCAGGGTAGACTCCCTCCCCAAGGCTTCTTGGCGGGCCGGCCAGCTGGGCTGTCCTAACAGCTCGTCTCTCTCAGGGGCGATTACCTCAACGACTGTCGGATTGTCTTTGTGGATGAAGTGTTCAAGATTGAGCGCCCCGGCGAGGGGAGCCCCGTGGTGGAAAACCCATTGCGAAGTGAGTTCTGACCCATCGCAGCGTGTCTCCCAGCCAGGGGTGGGCCGGGGGCTCCTGCGTCCCCAGCGTGGCGCTGCCTGAGCTGACCCTGCCCACCCCTGTCCAGGGAAGAGCGGACCCTCCTGCAAGCAGTGCAAGGACGACGAGAGCAAGGCCTGCCGGGCGTGCGCCTGCCACTTGTGCGGCGGCAAGCAGGACCCCGACAAGCAGCTCATGTGTGACGAGTG